AATTTGTTTATTGGTACATAGTAGTGTTGATACTAGAATTTCTAAGTTTGGTATGTGAGTTATAAAACTCCTATTAAGGAAAATTACACTGGGGAAAGATACTGCAAAATGTGGTATAAAACGAACAGAAGATCTGTTTGAATTCTGACTCTGTGGTTTACCAATTATTATATGATCCTTAAAAACAATTCCTTACCACCCACAAGTCTGAGTGTTTCACCAAAATGGAGTATTATTAATAACAGACTTATAGAGTTGCTGTGAAGGTTAAATAAGATGCAATATTAAATAAGATGCATATATTATTTAGTACATGTTTCAGTCACAAAAGCATATTGTTACTTCTGTGTTTCAATATTTCAAAATTCAGAATTTGTCTTACAATTAGTGTGAAAAGAAACTTGGCATCCTTCATATAGGGAAGGGAAGAGTGATCAGAGAAGATAACTTTTACCCAATTGTTACCTTAGTTAAATACATTGTCAATGTTGGCATGATCTTAAATTTGGGTACCTAATTATTGCTTTAAATATCCTTAAACAGATTATATTATGCTCCTATTTAGCTTTGATATAATGGTTATTGTGGGGTGGAAGACTGTCTATTACATGTAAAGTGATTCAGTTAAAAACAGTAGAAATTTTCAGATCTTTTGAAATTAGTTGTATACTTTTCAGATTTAGGACAGGTTATATTACCAATTCATGACTCATGAAGACCAAATACTAAATTTAATTCTAAGGAATCCATCAAACAAACCCAAATTGAGGTGCATACTTACTATAAAACAATTACTCTGTGTTCTTTAAAAGTGTTGGTGTTGGGAAAGACAAAGTAGAAGAACTATTTAGCATTATGGAGACAGGAGAGGGTGTGACCTTCAACAAGATGAGTCTCTCTTGTGAAGGACAGTTTCCAGGAGGGGATTCTGTTACAAACTGTTCACTGTCAAAACTCTCAGTGAATGGGGACAGTTACTAGTTTCATCCTAAATGTGAAGGAAGAATATAGGTATCAGACCATAGCACTCACTCTGGTTATGAAAGCTGAAATTTACTGTAAAATGATTCAACAAATGAGAATTCAGTAAATCAAGAAAAAGCTCAGATTGACAAAATTACATCTGGTCAATTTGAGTAAGGTCATATTGTTTTCAAACTTTTTGAGGTTTAAGTTTAAAAACAAATTAAAAACTGAGATCTTCAGGGGGTTGGTGTTGTGGCTCAGAGGCAGAACACTTGCCTAGCATGTGGGAGTCACTGGGTTCAATTGTCAGCACCATATACAAATAAATAAATAAAGATATTGTGTCCATCTACAACTAAGAAAATTTTAAAAAATGAAATCTTCAGGTGTTTCCAGTGTAACATCAGATTGGAGGACTATAGAGTGAGGTCATCTTTGGAATTCATTCTAGCTCTGATATAAAAGCCTCCTGAAACTATAAAACAACACATACTTCCTACATTTTTGTTTTTTCCATGAGTTCCCAAACTTTGTCCAATCATAGTATTAATTAGATTGGTTTGCGGGATGGTGATACCAACCTGAAGTTCACAGAACCATCCTTTTCTCTTTTGATGATCAACAGTGAAGGAGCTTCTGTATTCAAGGTGTTATTCCTCATTTTATGGAAAAAACAGCAAAGCTGAAAATATGTTAGTAGTTAATAATTAATAGTCAATAATATATATGTAATAGAGTTGTTTTGAAGATCAAATGAGTTAAAATATGTAGAAAATGTAGCATGTAGTAAGCACTTAATACATTTTAGGCATTATTGCTATCATTGTTAGGTATCTATACTCTGAATTAGTATCATATTATTATTTCATTGGTTTTGTAAAAATGAAGATGCAGTTTAGATATATTTTAAGTTGAAATCACCAAAATTGTCTAGCTAATAAATAGGAGAGCCAGAAATCAAACTTCAATCTCAGTTTTCTATCCACTATTGAAGACTCATGGGTAGGTAGATTCAGTGTGTTCTTTATGTTAGCCTCCATGGATCAACAATAAATTACTGTTTAGAAAGGGATTACATGGGCCCAGCATATCACACATGTGAGCATCTGAGTATTTTGTTTCTCATCAGAGTATATATAAATTATTAAGATCATAATATAAGTGTTTTTCATATTTGTATACCATGTAATATCTAGTTCAATGCCTTGAAGGTAGCAGTTTTGTTCTGTAATTATTGTCAAAAAATGTTCCTGAATAGAAGTATTATTGATTTTCAATTGATAGTTAATGCTTATATTTTGGTTTTGCATGTCTCTGTTCCAGCATTTAGTAGGGAGGCATCAGACAAGATTCAAATTTGTTGTAAGGTATTGTACAATTTGATGATGTTTTCTCCAACAATGAAATTTAGTGCTTTTTCTATTTCATCATAATTTTGTTTAACATCTCTTTCTCTGCTCATATATAGACTATAATAAAATGTTAATTATTATGGCCAGACCTGGTTATAACCTCCTGATTGATTAGTAATTAAATTCTTTTGTTTAACTTTAAAGCTTCATGTTATTCTTATCTTTTTATGAACTTATTGCCACTTAAATTATAGCCAGTTTCTACTACTTCTTTAGATTTCATACATATCTGCAATAATCAATGACATATAAAAAATCAACTGTAAATTATTGGTTTTTATAAGAAGAGAACTTTATAATATAAATTAGTTTATTTTCCATACCAATCAAGGCTGTCTTCTTTCGCAATAGCAAATTAGATTGGTATCCATTTGTCCTGGTTGTTTAAGTCCTGCTGATTGTTCTTTGAGAAGCATTGCCAGTATCCTAGATCTGTACCTTCTCTATTCTACAATAGAATACCAGTGTTCATTTGTTCTGTTGCAATGTAACTTTAAACCCATTGACAAACCTTTTTCTATATTTCTTATACTTTTCTTATTCAGCCTTTTGTAACTACTATTCTACTCTTTACTTCTATGAGACGGATTGTTTTAGATTCCCAGTATGGGTGAGATCATGCAATACTTATCTTTCTATGTCTGTCTTATTTCAGTTAATATAATTATCAGGTTAATCCATGCTGTCACAAATGACAGGATTTCATCTTTTTATGGCTAAATAGTATTATGTGTGTCTATCCACACTCATATACTTCATGTATACCACATATTTCTTTATCTGTTCATTTATTGGTGGACACTTAGGTTAATTCCATTATGTTGGCAATTGTGAATATTAGTACAATAAACACAAGAATGCAGAAACTTCTTCAGCATACTAATTTCATTTCCTTTGAATAGGTATCCGGTAGTGAGATTTCTGGGTCATATGGTGGTTTCTTTTTCCATAATGCTGTACTAAATTGCATTCCCACCAATAGTGTATAATAGTTCCCTTTTCTCTACATCCTTGCAAGCATTTAAAAAAAATAATAGCCATTCTTACTGGGGTGAAGTAATTTCTCATTATGATTTTGATTTACATTTCCCTACTGATTAGTGGTAGTGAACATTTTTCATATTTGTTGGTCATTTGTCTTCTTTTGAAAAAAAGTCTATTCAAGTCTTTTGTCTATTTTTTAATCAGATTGTTTACACTTTGCTATTGAATTATTTGATTTCTTTATATTTTCTGGATGTTAACCTCCTATCAGATGTGTAGTTTTCTAATATTTTCTCCAATTCTGCAAGTTGCCTCTTTGCTGTGCTGCTGATATCTTTGTCTTTGCAGAAAATTTTTACTTTGATGTAATCTTATTTGTCTATTTTTGTTTTGTTGCTTTTGCTTCTGGGGTATTATCCAAAAAAGTCTTTCCTAATCCAATGTCATGAACCATTTCCCCTATGATTTCTCCAATTAGTTTCAGAGTTTTAGGTCCTACATTTTAACTTTAATCCCTTTGAGTTGATTTTTGTATATAGTGAAAGATAGGGTTCTAGTCTCATTCTTGTACATGTGGATATCCAGTTTTTCCCAGTACCATTCAACGAAGACTGTACTTTTTTTCAGTGGGGTCAATGATACTGTATTGTACATTTCAAAATAACTTGAACAGAGAATTTTCAGTGTTTCACTGCAAAAATTAATCACTAAATGTTTGAGATGGTAGTTATATTAATTACCCTGATTTGATCATGACCCAATGTATACATATTTGAAAGCATCACATATATCACATCAAAGCTCTGTGATGACATATTCAGAATCTTTTATGGAGTGATGAATTCTCCTTGATTCATCTACCTTGATATCTGATCCTTGAATGTGACTAAAGTCGTGGTTTAGTATGTCATTTAAAAACAAAATTAAACCTTAAAAAATTCAGAATCTGCTGCTTAAAAAAACATTTAGAAGAACTGTCGCGAATTGAAGTTAGAATTATGTTTAATTCAGTGAATGGATACCAAAATTATAAGTTAGTTTTCCACCTGATTTTGATGTTAATTATCTGAAGTGTCCTGGTCAACTTTGTTAATATGCTTCATCTTAAACACTACATAGAAAGAACCCAGATCCATGCTTTGAATTGTATCACTTCCTTCTTCTTTCCCTACTCCATTTTCTCTACCCATACCTCCCCTCCTTCCAGACTTCTTTCTTCTTTCTTTTTCCTCTTCCCTCTCTTCTTCATTTCTTATTAATTATAAAATTATAAAATAAGTTGATAAGCACAACACTATCAAAAACAAATGTGTATCATGGTACAGTTAGAATTTAAGGTTAAGAAACACATCCCAAATGAGGTGTTAGAAGAGTTGGACTATTCAGATAAGGATGGGTCATGATAATGAAAGGGGTTGGTGAGAGCTTGTGTACATTTAAATAGAGCAGGGTTGAAACATCATATGATCAAGAGCCAACAGTGTGGAAATCTATAGCCTAAAGTTAAAGCAGAGGAGTTAAGAGACATGAAGTTAGAGAGTAAGGAGATGTGAGATTATAGAAAGATTTCATTTCACTTAGGTAGCTGGGACCTAATATAATGGGTAAGGGGACAACCACCAACAAATTTTAAACTCTGTGATGGCACAGTCAGAATCTTTTAAGGAGTGACAAATACTCTTTGATTCAACTACCTTGATTTATCTGATCCTCAAAGGTAACTGAAGTTATGGTTTATAATTTTATAAGAGAGGGATGCTAATTTATTACTCATAAAGATGTAGAACTTGACATTTGTCTCACTTAAGATTTACATTAATTAATATTAATAAATGTTTGACTAGTTATGTATATGTACATTAATACTAATAATAGGAATGTCATACTTTAAGGAAATCTATTGTACATTGAAGCAAATTTGCAAATCATTTAAATTAGGAGAGATGTATTGATAGAACTTGTTTTTTTCTCTTTGAAAAGCAAAGAAAACTTCCCCTTGTGTGGGAGCTCCTCCTTGGCATGTTAAAATAATTTTTATACCAAGATAATCAGGAAAGATTAATTGCATAATAAGTTTTGGACATATATAAGTACATTAAAGATTTTTGTAGGATATGAAATATAGTAATCTCTGTTTTGAGAAGAGTACAATCTAATGTTAAATAAATCCTTGCAATAGTATGAGCTGTTCAAATCAACAGGATATTTGTTGTCCTAGTAATAATTATCCATTTTAATTGTTCTTGGTTATTTGCATTTGCCTTATTTTTCTAGACATAATTGAAAAATAATGAATGACAAACAGAAGGTTTCTTATTTGTTAATATTCCCTTAGGACCATTCCTTAATTTATGAGTCTTAATTGGAATTTCTGTCCTCAATTGTTCTCAAAAAAACTGATGTTGCAAAAATTTTTAAAAATGTGTTTTATTTAGGACAGGACAGGACACATTCTTAGTAATGGAAATTAGATTATTCTTGGACTTTAAGATACAAAGTTGGCAAAAGGAACTAAGGGAGAGAATTAACAGAGAGTCAAAGTATTCAATTTATCTAGCACAGTACCCTCTAGAAGCAGCCCAACAGACTGGCTAGGGTTTTACAGGGAATGAAAAGGAAAAAAAAAAAAAACCTTTAACAAAACTTTGAAGGCAAGAACGCCCCTTAAGAACCGAAAAAAAAACATGGGGTACATTAAACAAAAGTGCCTATCCAAACAATTTGAAAGGTCAACTCTCAACCTATCAAACTGAGGTTCTTGCCCTACACTTGCTTCTCTTAGTATAACACCCACATGGTTTGAAGGAAAATATGCCCTTTAGAAAACAGAAGAGCCATTATGATTTGTCAAACATCTTGTAGTACCCTGGGTTACATTAAAACTCCCCAGGCAGTGTTGTCAAGTGCCTGTCTCTTCCCTTGAACATGCCTCACATATTTTAATCCATGTGTTTCATATTCATTTAGACATTTCATCAAGCTAGAGTTGGGTAAGAATCACTTAATGTCCAAAGACCTTTCCTACTAGTTTTTGGTTCTTAGAAAGTTATACTTTGCCAAATGTAAATGAATTCCAGACCCTTTCTTTTCAAAGAAGCTTTGCAAAACTTAAAAAGTCTCCACATATCTATCTTTATTCTAGAGATGTTTAGGCATGGTAACCTTTTTCATAGTGCATTCTTTCAAAATGAGGTTCTTCACAGGCATTATAAAACATGCTTCTTTATGGGTCCCAGTACAAATTCACTAAATTTGTGAATCCCTGCTTGTTTCCTATAGTGTGATTCTTTAGACAGTATATGGTAGGTATTAAGTATTAGCTATTATTAGCCAAATGCCTTTTAGACATCTCTATTTGATAGTGTTTGTAATGTTCTCTATCCAAAATTGCATTTGTCCTGTTCCTGTAAAGTTAATGAAAAGTGTGCCTTATCCCCTTGCAGGGTACTCCATTGCCCAAGCCAGAAACTCCAGCAGCTACTAGATTCCCACTTCTAGTCTTTAGGCCCTGCAGATTTTACCTCTTAGATATCTTTCTAGTTAACTACTTCATTTTCATGCCCCCATTGCTATGGCTATTAAGATTCAGAAGATCCCATCCACATTAGCCCAAATTACTGTAAAGTCCTCCTGCCTTTACCTGTAGCACTTCTTCAATGACTAACCCAGTGATCCTCCACACTGTGATCTTTCTTATAATAGGTATTTGATGATGCCATTCCTGGGCTCAAGCTGTGGTTCCTTATTAATGGCTAGAATGAAGTTAATTTTTTTCTTTCATCCCCCCACGACTGCTCTCTTCTTACCTCTGCAGCTTAGCTTTTGCTGCCTCCTGCCTGAATCCTTTACCTGAGGCAAATAGAGTCCTCTCACTGTGTTATGCAGTTATCTCCTTTCATTGGATCCCTTGTATGCATGTCCTCCTCTAGAGTCTTCTGGATAACTATTAGTTTCCTTTAAAATCAACTTTAACATTCAAAATTGACCAATCAATCTGATTTAATTGACACTATGCTTAGCAGAGTGTAGTAGCACAGTGTAATAAATAATAAGATTCTTCATCTCTTTCTTGGAAGAGGTCAAGTAGAGTTTACCACATTACAGTTACTTAGAAAACTTGAATTGAGACCTGGTTCTTTCTACATTTACTCTAGAATCTTCTTAAGTTATAAAAGCAATTAATCTTTGCAAGATTTATTGGCTATAAATTTTATGTTTTGAGGGAGATATCAAGACTTGCTGTAGTGCTGTTAAAAATGTTCTATATCTTGATATTGGTATAGGAATCAAAATATATACTGAATATAGTCAATGAATAAATGCAAGAAGTCATTATTTTGTATACTTAAATTTGTGCGCTTGAGTATAATTCATACTACATTTTAAAAAATGAATTGGCTGAAAGTGAAGGTGAGTGGTAAAGTGTGTTCTTAGTACGTATGCACA